CAGAAGTATTGAGTTTAGATGGTTGTGGTTCATAGGATTGTTGGTCAACAAGATCAATGATTTCAGAAAAACTGAATGGTTCGGTAGTGGGGATTTACAAATGGTTAGAAATGGTCCTTTCAGGAATTTCATGATCAGAAGGTGAATGAGGATCAAAGTGAATAGTTGGTGAGTCAATATGGATTGGAGTAGAGTTTAAAAAGGCAAAATCAAGTAATTGGTGGTGGTGTAGTAGTTTCAGAAATGAGAGTAATGATGGTTGGTGTGATGGTGGTTGGAATGGATGAGATTGCATCAATAATATTAGAAACAATTTTAGAAACAGGTAAAGAAGTAGCAATAGCAGACTTACTTGTTTTTTTTTTGGATAAGCAGCTAGAGTCACAATCTTAGAAGTTCTAGACTTATTCTTCTTCTTCTTTCCAAGTTTAGAAGCTTCTGAACTCTTCTTCCTTTTACCTTTGGAAGAGTTAGCATACTCTTGAGTAGGAGGTAAATCAGAATAGTTAAAACTGAACATATCATATCCTTCCGCTTCCATCATCCTGACGTAGATAGAAATGTTAGACATGTTATCTCCCTTGGTAAATAAAGAGTAGTCATTCACAAGAATTCTTGAGATTCTAATGCTTTCAGAGGGAACAAGTACAGGTTTAGCAATGACTTCCTCTATTAGCCTCATATTTTTGAGAGTTTGTCCATTGAAGGAATCTCCAAGACTAGAAGCCAAATCCTCTATAAACTTAGCTTCTTCAACCAGAGTTTTCACCAAGCCACTTTCTACCAGGATGTCAGTGATGAGACGTCCAAAAGAAATATAGTTTGAAACCTCCTTCTTGTGATCATCAGTGGTTATGGTCTTTATAATAGAGTCTCTCAAATAATAAAATAGAAGAGATGGAAGACACATCTTCTGATGGGTCATCAAATAGTACAACATGTACTTCGGATTGATGTTGAAATCGTTAGAAGAATTGGATGGAATGATTTTATGCCAGATTTTGAGTTCATCATGAAGATCTTTACTCTTATACTCAGTTTTCTCAGGAGAGTATTTCTTGAAGATGGCTTTGCTGATAGTCTCCTACATATATATAGATTTTCTATGCATCTTATAAATTTGTTTACCTTCCAGAAGTTGCATGCCTAGAAGATCAACAATAGACTTTTTAGTAATGACAATTTTGAGACCCAGCACATGAGCAACTACATGAAGATTGTCACAATCCGCTTGAAATCAGAAATCCTTAACCAAAGAATCATAAATAGGACCATGAAGACGCATGAAGAAGTGCTCCCATCCTTAAGCATTCAAGTCAGCAATTAGGTTTGCACCATTTGCAAAAAATTTATTGAAATCCACCATATATTCACGAAGAACATTTAGCTCATGTGGTTTCAGATTACAGAGAACTTGAACAAATTTCTGTGTTAAGTGGTATTCATCAATAACTGATAGAGAAGATGAACCAGTTACCATCAAAGAAGAATAACTGGTTGAAATATTTGAAGAAGACGACCCAAAAGGATTTAGAGCTTGTTCCATTTCTTTAGCAAACTGAATAATCTCTTGTTGTTGAGCACTCATCATGTTGAAGTGTTGAAAATGATGAAGGTTATTGATGAATGGATGAAGAATGTTGATGAATATGATGAACACAAAGAACTTGTTGGACGGTTTGAGAGAAAAGAGGGTTTACGGTTTCTAAAGTCTAGAAGTGAAGTGAAGTGTGTGTTTTATAGTGTTTTAGAAGTGAGAGAAAAATAAATAAAAAATAAAAACATATAGACATAATTATTAGGAGCATTAAATGAAAGTAATATTTATAATTTTAGTCAGTTCCAAGAAAAATACACACTGCTTATTGCATAGCCTAGGTAGAGTGTGATGATTAAGTATAACCAAGGGTTACACGCGTTAATCACTACATCTAATTAAGTGACACGTTTTGATATCCTCGGAGTCTAGACAACTAAAATGTATCTATCTAATCAAAGACATTTCTGACCGAAACATCTTCCGATAAATGAGGTTCAGAAAAATGAAATAGAAGTAATAAAGTTTAAAGAGAATAGAAATGTTACTCATTGAAGTCTGATAGTCTATCAGCTGATTCTTAAAACATTTTTCACAATCCAAACTTTATTCAAAAGATGAGTTGGCACAAGCGAGATCATCAAAGCTCAGAAGCATTTCTCCAAAATATTTAAAGTTTGGTCTTGTTCTGACAATAAAATCTTTGATTACAAGAGTCTCAGACCCAATAATCTTTCTTTTCTGGTGGCTTCTGAAACTATCCATGCCTCCATACTTAAGTTCCAAATCTTGGAACATGTGCCAGTGTGTGTCACCTGGACTTGATTAGAATTTGGTACACATGCTCAAAGCATATGAAACATCTAGACATATACAAATCATGGCATACATAATGGATCCTATTGGAGATGCATATGGAGCATTACTCATTCACTTAATCCCATCAACACGGAAAGTACATTGAGTTTTACTTAGTGATGTGCCATATTGCATGAGAAGGAATCCTCTCTTGGAGTTTTCCATCTCGAACTTAGTAACAGTCTTATCAATATAAGTTTATTGTCTAAGCCCTATCATCATCTTAAATCTATCTCTATAGATCTTGATGCTCAAAATGTACTCAACAACCCTAAGGTCTTTCATAGAGAAACATTTCTTTAACCATCCTTAGACTTGACTCAAGCATGAGAATGTTTTTTTCTATGAGAAGTATGCCATCCACATATAAGATAAAAAAACACTACGTTTCTCCCACTTTCCTTCTTATAAACACAAGATTATTCTACATTTTTAAGAAAACCAAATTGTTTGATTGCCTTATCAAAACAGAGATTCCAACTTCAAGATGCTTACTTCAGTCCATAAATGGACTTCTAAAGCTTACATACCCTTCTAGATTTTTTTGGATCCACAAAACCATCTAGTTGTGTGATATACACATCCTCTTTCAAGAACCCATTCAAAAAGCAGTTTTGGCATCCATCTGCCAAATTCTGCAGTCATAGAAGGAAGCAACCGCTAAGAGTATCCTAATTCGAAGAAGACCCCACTACAACAAAATCAAGGTATATACCATCTTTGGTAGAAAAGGCAGAGATGGTATCTGACGTCTCCTGATCTACTTAATCTGCTGAAATGTCATTCTTTTCTTTCCTTCTCGTGATTAGTTCTACCTCCATAGCAATGGACTCTGTCAATAGGAAGAACAATGTCAAATAAAGAACTTCAAGCAAGTTCAAACTTAAATCCAACACTTTCTTGTCAAAGTATACCTATTGCAAAGAAATTAATTAAAGACAAAACAAGAAGGTCTCAAGGTCTCAAACCCTAGGGAAGAGAAGCGATGATATAAAAGAGGGAAAGCTCGAGTATTACCTTAGAAAGAAAGGAATATAAATATTTGCAGGCTATAAAGGTTATGCAAATAAACCTAAAACGAAGATCCACGTAGAAAATTTTACATCAAAGAAGAAGAAGAAGAAGAAGAAGAAGAAGAAGAAGATGATGATGATGATGATGATGATGATGATGATGATGATGATGATGATGATGAATGTTTTGAATTCCTCAAGTGGCTAAAGAAGAAAAATGGCAAGTTGAAAAGTTTTATGTATATCCCCACCATAACGAACCACACAACCTCCTACGTTGAGAAGCGATAAATGTATCATTAACGGTTCAAATTCCCTTCAAAATCTCTTAGAACACTAGAGTATCCCAGGACAAAAAGAGAAAATGTTACTGAGAAGTTAGGTACACACGTCAAGTCCTCAAAAAGAGAAAGTTATTTAATTCATTTGGTCCCAACGTCGACAGTGAAGTCCCACCAAGACTCTTCACTTGCTTGGCTGATACTCGACTAAGAATGTACACGGCAAAACCTTTATCGCACAAAGAGACAAAGACTTAGGGACAACTCTTTTGCGTTATCCGCAAGACCCAAGCGAAAGATCCAAATGTGAGAGTGAAGGAAGCAGGCTAGGAGACAAATGTTACCTCGTTCTCACTCAAAGTAAATAAGTATGTTCTGTAAAATATCATTCATCATCCAGATCAACCAGACGATTGTTTGCATAGCACATTGCATCCCCTACATATAATTTTAACCACTCCCAATATATAAAAAGAAAAGTACATTATTCACAGGTATTCAAATCGATTCTCACTTAACATTAATGTTTTGATTTTCTCATTGTCTTATATATTAAAGTGTTAACTTTACAAATTCACTCTCATACCGTTATATTGAAAATGACAATAATTTAAACCTGGACCAGGGTGCTGCATACTACGGGAGTAGAGGACCAACATGACCTTGTCCGTTGTTCTCCAAGGCAAATTCACCACTAAGTGCAACCTCATTCATTCCCACTTCAACTTTGTTTTCATTTCATGTGTCTACATTCATGGCTGGGTGCTAGCTAGAAACCAACAACAAACAAAAAAGCCTTATATTCTATACAACTAGGCCCTCTCTCTTTTTCTCATAATAAAACCCAAATCAACAACACTAACATAACACTTGTCTCCTTAATCAAACCCCAAACGTTACCCTTTCCACCTTCTTTCTCTCTCTACACTCTAATCTACCTACTAAGCTGAGTCTTATATTCTCTATTTCCACCCTTTTTTGAAAATTATTTTTTCCAAAAAAAACAATATTCCCATTAGTGGTCCTATATAAACAGTTAAAGCACTTCCTTAGATTTCTGAGAATAGGATTGATTAGTGAAATTCTGTTGTTGGTGAGATTATAAGAATAATCACACACAATAAATAACAGTATCTCATATATATCTTTGTTTAAGTTTTGTTCTTGTGTTAGATTGTGTTGAATTAGGGTTTAGCATCCACAACCATACTTAAACACACAATTATCAATAATTGATTATGGTTTAAGATAGAGAGATTATTCTAATTTAGATCTCTCACACACACACACACCTTCATCACATTAAGGTTAATGGAAACAAACATTTCACCAACAACTTTAGGTTACAATAGAGATTCTTCTTCTTCTTCACCAATTCCACCTCAAACAACTCCACCTCAAACTAACACAAACACATTAGTCTTCAACAATCTTCATCCAGATCCAGATCTAATTGTTACAACAAGCACTTCTACTACTCCAATAACACCACAACAGGCAACAACAACAACAGCAGCAACAACAACAACAAAAATATATTACCGAGAATGTCTGAGAAACCACGCGGCAAGCATGGGAAGCTACGTGGTAGATGGATGTGGCGAGTTTATGCCAAGCGGTGAAGAAGGTTCCCCACAATCATTCAAATGTGCTGCTTGTGATTGTCATAGAAACTTTCATCGAAAACATGTTCAATTACCACAGCAACAACAACAAGAACAACAACAGCAACAACATCAACAACAAACGCAACATGTTGTTAATAACGGTCACGTTCAGTTTAACACACCTTCTTCTTCATCTCAAAGATTCTCACACCCAACTACTTCCGGACATGTTCCACCTTTGATGATGACTTTTGGATCAGGTCCAGCTGAATCATCAAGTGAAGATCTCAACATGTTGGGTGCACAAGTTTCAATACAAACGCAGCAGCAACAAGGTTCTAAGAAGAGGATAAGGACGAAATTCTCACAGCTTCAAAAGGATAAGATGATGGAGTTTGCTCAAAAGATTGGGTGGAAGATCCAGAAACATGATGAACAAGAAGTTCAACAGTTTTGTTCTCAATTTGGTATCAAAAGACAGGTCTTCAAAGTTTGGATGCATAATAATAAACAAGCTATGAAAAAAACAGGAAATGTAAGCTTAGTTTAGCTATTTTTGTTTTATTTTGTTCCATTTGTTTTAAAAGAAATAAGGGGAAAAAATTAGTATATAAATGAATAACATACTTGATTATTAATATTCAATTTCTATGTATTTAAAATATGTTATATATACGGTGTTTAATTATATTGATATGAAAGTAGTATACACTGATTCTGAGTTTTTCAGCTCTTTATTCCTTGAATAGACTTTGGAAAGAGAAAGAAGAAAACGACAAATTTGTTTGTAATGTTTGTTATAAGCTAAATTAAGATTAGGGTAGGTGTAAGTAACAATATTAGATGCGTAATCTTTGTTTTGAGGACTTTATGCTATTTTAATGATGGAAGTTTTGGTTCTTGAATCTATTTGGTTTCTATGGTAATCAATGTTAGGATCCCACCACAAATTTGTCATCAGGTATAGGACAGACACCGACACATGGTTATAGGAGACAGTACCCGGTTTTTTCTCGAATTGATGATTTTAAAGGTTGTGTGTATAGTCTTGTCTCTATCTGAACAAATCAACCATGAAGAAATATCTAAGATGATGGAGTATAAATGAAAAAATGAAGAAAGTGGTGGGAGATATAATTTTCATCCTTGGGGTTCATCATGAGTAACTGTCATCTGTCTATGGTGAATTTTTTTTTTTTTGTCATTTAGCACAACAAAGTGATGAGAGTTTCATTCTTGAAATTTATCCTTTTGTCGTATTAATTAAACTCCTTTTCTTCTTTTGTTTCTTGGAGATGTCGATTAAACTATGGATGAAATTAGCTGGAATGAAAAGGAAGTTGCTTTAGGAAGGGTCAAAAGAATTATTAAGGTAACTTGGATGAAGTGAGAGGACTTATGTAAGCTTAAGAGGGATGGCGATGTAGGGATTAAATATCTAAGACTTGTGAACTTAGTGATGTTAAGGAAGTGGAGGTGGAGAGGTCCTGAGGATAGACAATTTATGTGAAATTTATGTAGATATATATATATTTTTATTTATAAATACGGAGTTTCCATGTCTGATTTCACGTTAATTGGTAATGTGGTCAGTTCTGTGTCTGGTTCCACGTTAATTGGTAATGTGGTCAGTTTAAGGAAAGTATCTTTTTTGTGGAGAGAAGTTTTTCTTGTTGATTTCTTACCATATTTATAGGGTGATGATTGTCCTCACTTAATCCTAAGGTTTTCGTAGTTTTCTATTTCTCCGACTTCTATCAAATATCTCGCCACATGTTCGACAGTAGATTTTGTCGTATCCCCTGAAAATTTGGTAAACTTATGGACTTTTCCCCTAGGGGGTAAGTCTGTTTGCAGAATATAATCTGACAATGGAGATGTGAAGTTTGGTCTGTGAAAACCAACGTTCATCACATTCTCTATCATAATCCTTTCGATCATGGCAGTCAGATTATTATCTGTTCCATAATTTTGGTGTTGAACTTGCTGTATCAATTCATCAGCATTTTGGTTTCTATTCACCATAATTACTTCCTGATCGACTTCTCTAGGGATCAGTGGGGGGTTTCGAGGTATTTCGATCCTAGGCTGCTCTATTTCTACTCTAGGGATCTGTGAATTTTGATTAACGGTTAAATCTTCCTCCAAGATTACCCCTTGGTTTACTCTTATTGATATTCTCTGGGGTTGTCGAATAGTTTGGGATACCCCAAAGAATTCAGCCATGCGCGTCATTTGCGTTGCCATTTGTTGATTCGACTGGGTAGTATTTTGTATTAAGGGGTTCAGCACTGTACTTAGGGTTTGTGTCATCATTTGCACCATATCATGATTGCTTTCGTCCATCTGTTGCCTCAAAATTGCTGTAGAAGTATTTGTGAGGCTTGGTATTGCATGTGATGGTCCTCCTAAAATTTGGTTTCTACCCAAATTTGCCATACTGGCTCCAGATCCCTGTAATGGTGATGACGCACTCATCAAAGGTTCTGAAAAAGTAGACGCAGCGTTCATAAGATTAGCCATTTCAGTGGTTGGCATACCATATGGTTGTTCTCGACCCATCCAGGCTGTCGAAAATTCTGGGAGAACATACGATCGAGATCCTGGATTTGCCCTTGGTGGGGGTGTTCTTAATGGACCTCTAGGACCTACATACGAAAGTAAGGGTCTTGTTTGATTCGTGGTTAACGTTGGTACCGAACCAACAGAAGTTGAGATATTTTCTCTAACGGTAGTTATAACCGCTGTTCCAGTAGCATTTGATGGAGGTATTTCTCCATGATTTGGCTCATTAACCATTCTACTTTCGCTATTTCTCTTTCTAACAGTACACTCGTTGGTTAATCTACCACTTCTTAATAACATGCAACGCTGTATACGTATAAAAAGAAAGCAATAACATGAACAAACAGATGATAAAATTTAACAACGTCTCATCAGGTGTGCCAATTTGTTTACCGTGGTTTTTAGTAAACAACTGCTGATCCTCCAAAAAGAAAAGTCTTTTTGGTTACTCGCGGGATCGATCAGATTGATCCCATAATATATTTTAATTTTTATGTTGGTTTGATGTGAAGGTTAATATCTAGAAAGAACGCACGTTCGACCAAGGATGTGGTGTTTATGGTTTTGGAAAGTAAGAAAGTAACTAGAAGTGCAGGTAAAGATGTAGGAAACGTAAATTTTACAAAAGAAGATCAAAGCAATGTAAAAAGACTTTATTAATAAAAAATAGTATTTCCAACGTACATTCTCAGTTATTCTTTCACACACAGCGGATACTTGAATAATATTGAGTAACTAGCACAATAGGTTGAACACCCGAAAACTCTACACAAACTTTCTATTTTTATACTAAAATTGTGTAACTGTCGAGTGTGACTTTGCTCTAGGATGAAGACAAGTGTCTTCTGCATGTCCCTCGACCTATATCTTCCTGCCACGTCGCTTTTCCTTAACTGCTGGCGAACTGCATTTCCCTCCAATCTTCAAATTCAAATATCCTTGGTCTTTGGTGCTGACACGAAGGTTTGTTCTTCTAGTCGAAGGTCACAGAACCTTTCCAGTCGAAGGCTTGATGGTGATGTCTGGTCGAAGACCAATTTGTAACTCAGATATTTTCTCTAAGTTTTTTCCATCCGTCGAAGCATTTTCCAACTTGGCTTTATCTGCTCTATTTGTGGTCTATGGGGCCAATATATAGTAGGTGTCGAATTTGAGAGCCAACAAGTCACACTCAAGATGGTGGATCACCCGATAGCAAAAATTATAATAGATGGTTCACCTGATTTTATATAAGACTCTATATCATGTTAAAAAATATAGTTGGACCAAACTCAATTCTACAAAAATGATTTATAGTGTGAGGATTGTCCGATGTGAGTCTCTTAATAATTCTAAAGTAGTTTGGATAGGTTGAATATCAATTTATGACAGAATATTTTGATAAGAAAGTTTTCTGATTCTTTTGAGAGGTTATTTTTTATCTCAGAGCAAAAATCATAGTTGTGAAATTGATAGATAACTGAGAAAAAGAAATTTGGATTTGAGACTTTAAGTGGAGACATTCTCTCATTGTTTAGGAGGAAGAACTTTTGGTCGAGTTACTTAATTTTCTAACTGGGGTGATAAAGCAATGGTTGGCAGATGTCTAAGTATGTGGATTCCAGATCCCTCATCAAGAGACTTTTTTTAAAAGAATCTACTATGTCAGGCTTTCTCTTTTGGAGATCGGGGAAGAAGTTAGATATATCCAGGTGATTCAAGAAATGGAAAAAGTTAGAAGAGTTGAGAGCCTTCAAACGTAGTGGTTTTTTCTTGACAACTCATATAGGATAGATGGTCAACCAAACAAAATCTCTTCAAATGTCATTTGTTGATACTGGTGTGGAGTGTGCAATTTGTCTAGATCATATCACTTATTTGACCATTGTGAGATTGCTTTCTCACTTTAGTATAAGGTGTTTAGATGAGAGGGTATGCATAGACCTCTTCCGCATTCGATTATAGAGGTTTTCAAGATTTTTCAAGATCTTGGTCACGATGAAACTCTCTTAGATTTGTTTAAGCTTTGTTTTTTAGACAGAGAAATGGGTTGATTAAGCACGTGATGACTTTGATTTTGACATACTCCGATTTGTCTTTAATATATTTTGATTTGTCTTTTTTTATTTGACTTAGAACGAGACTCATTGTTTTTAAAGATGTGCTAAGTAAGTAGCTGCTCTCTTTTATTTTTTAGATAATTACATTTACCTATGTTTATTTTTATTTTTTTTCTTTATTTAATTGAGAACGAGATTTGTTCTGATGTCTTCATTTTTAGAGATGTATTAAATAGTTAGCTGTCTTCTTTTATTTTTTTCAAATGACCACATTTGACTTTGATATACTTTTATTTATCTTTTCTTTATTTGACTTAGAACGAAACTCTTTTATTTATTTGACTTAGAACAAAACTGTCTGATGCCTTGTTTTTAGAGATATGCTTAATAGCTAGCTGCTCTCTTTGTTTTTTCAGAATATCACTTTACCTATGAACAACCTAGAAATCCAGATCTACTCTTATACCTTCATTTTTAGAGATGTGTTTAGTAACTAGCTGTCCTCTTTTTCAGATATCACATTTACCTCTCTTTCTGAAGGAAAAATATCCTATGTCTTGGTGTAGGCTTTTTTTTAGTGCGCATGGATTCATTTCTTTTGTGGTTTTGATGCAACTAACTCTCTCTTGTTTTTGTTATTTAGTGCACATTTGTTTGTATTTTACAATTAAATTTCCCATGAAATGCAATCCGTGTTCTTTGTGTAGATATTGTCGGACAAATGCATAAACACTCCACTGTATATTTAGTCTTTGTTTAGAATTATTATGAGCATATAAGTTTGTTTACAATAGTTTTGAAGTAATTTAATGTATATAAATTTTAATTAGTAACGTATAAAATATTTACAAATGCATCCTATTAAAATTTTAAAAAAAATTAAATGTATCTAAAAGGATTATTTTTTAAGATTATATATATATATATATATATATATATATATAGTTAATGTTTAAGTAGTATTTGATTATATAATTTTATTTATTTTGTTTAATATAAAAAAATATGATAATTAAGTTGATAAGAAAGAGGATAAACTGATAAATAAGACGTTGCTATTTTAATTTTAAAATGTAAAATAAATAAAAAAAGATTCATAACATTTGAAAATTTATAATAAAAAAAATCTTAAAATTTGTAAAAAATTATATAACACTATCCAAAACAAACAGGCCTAACTAAAACTTTTATATAACACTATAAAGATCATTTTTAATAAAAACTAAAAACGAAAAGAAACGAACCTAACTAAGAAATCATGGCTAACAAATTAGTACAGTATGTTATAGTTATGCTTTGGTTCATCCTCCCTAACCATTTTACATGCAAGTTGAACTGGTATATCTAATTGTAGTAATATATACTTAACTTTTCCCACCTTCGTGGGACAAAGGATCTAATAATCATAATTTCTTTCCTAATGTACCATTAGTTACATAGTGTCATCCAGCAAAAGATGCTATCTTTTGTCCAAAAAAGTGCCAAAGTACTATAGTGTCTTAAAAATTACAATTATTTTGTCCGTGTCTATAGCATAAATGATCATGGACATAAATTCAGAGTCATAGAGTATGGACCACAAAATAAAGAAGAAAAAAAAGTGAGGAGATTAACCTTTTACCTTTATCAAACCATGCACCTTTTGGATGATCATGTTATGTTCTTATATCAAAGATAAGAATCTACGCATGTTAACAAAGGGTCCCATAATGTCACTATGTGAGTGAATAACCATACATACTATGTAACTTAACTACATAATGTTATGGATACAGTTATGGGGTATTTCTCATCTTAGCTCCAACATTCCCTGTGGCTTCTGAGGCCTTTTCTTTTGCAGCTTCATACTTAGCTTTGGCTTCTTCACTCATGGAATTTTTTACAGAGCTTAATTCATCTTTCGCTTCATCATTTACACCACAATCCATTCCACCTTTTACACCGTTTTTGATGTCATAATTGGTCAATTTATCTGTTGCCATTCTGATTATTTCATCACTTCCAATTGCTTCTTTGGCATCTGTAGCTGCATCTTCAGCTTTATAGTTCATGTTTTGAGTGGCGTCGTCATTTTCTGATCCCAAACTTCTGCCTCGGTAATTAATACAAATATATACATTTAAGGTTTGGCTTAATATATTTTGCTCATAAAAATTGCATTATATATAACAAAAGTTGAATGAGATAGTAATAAACAAGATTTGGATAAAAGAAGATTACTGAGAAAATGTATTGCGAAGCCAATTAGGCAAAAACTCTGTGTCCGGTTCAGCGACATCCTCAACCCAGGACATGCAGATCCCCACGCAGACTCCAAGACACAGCACCAACAAGAAAAGTTTACTACTAGTCATTTTTGTTGTTTTTGTTTTTCTTTCTTTGATTTGAATTTGCTGAAGTAATATAAAAATGAAGAATGGAATAGAGGATTGGGAAGTTGGGGTGGTTATGGAGTGCAGCATGAATGCCATGTGGTGTTTGGGGAGAAACGTGGCGAAAATTAGAAGGTTAACGGAGGGTGTGAATATGCGACGTGTTAAACAGAGGTGAAGTGGACCCGCGTGACCCGCTTCGCGACCAATCTTGAATGTTTCAACGGGTTTTTTTCCCTCCACCTTTCGGGTCATCTATTTCGAACATGCTACTAGTACTTAAATAGGATATCTTACCATTGGCACGAATACCGCTGTATTACACGTATTTAAATTTAAAATTAAATTTAAACTAAAATAAAATATTTAAGAATAGTTAATATATTATATAAAAACATAAATTAAATTAAAATGTAATAATAATAAAAAATAATAGTGATATTGACTTTTATAAATACTATTTTAATAAATGTTTTCATAAAACTAAATATTAATATATTTTTTTATTATAACTTTTATAAATGATGAAATTGACTTTTAAAAATGTTATTATATTAATAGTTTTATTGAAAAAGAAATTAATTAAATACTTAATTAAATATTTTAATTATTAATTTCATATTTCTAATTAATATTCAATATTTTGATCAGTAATTTAATATTTTGATCATTAATTTCATATTTTCGTTAATAATATTTTGATTATTAATTTTATGTTCCCGTTAATATGCAATAGTTTGATCAGCATTTTCACGTTTCTATTAATATTTATTATTTTGATCAACAATTTTATGTTTCCGTTAATATTCAATAGTTAATCAATAACTTTATATTTCCGTTAATATTCAATATTTGAAATCATAATTGCGATCAATGTTTAAATGTTAAATATATAAAATTGTAGAGATATTCAACAACTTTATATTTTCGTTAATGTTTAAATGTTTAAATTACGATCCATAACTTCATATTTTCGTTAATATTCAATATTTCGATTAGTAATTTCATGATTCTGTTAATATTCAATAGTTTGATTAATAACGTCATGTTCCCGTAAATATTCAATATTTGAATTAGTAAATTCATGTTTATGTTATTATTCAATATTTTTATCAATAACTTCATATTTACGTTAATACTCAATATTTTGATCAGTAATTTAATATTCCTGTTAATATTTAATATTTTGATTAGTAACTTCATGTTCTCGTTAATATTTAATAATTTCATTAGTAATTTCATGTTTTCGTTAATATTCAATAATTTGATCAATAACTTTATATTCTCGTTAATATTTAATATTTTGATCAATAACTTTATGTTCTCGTTAATATTCAATTTTTTTTATCAATAACTTCATATTTCAATTAATATTTAATATTTTAATCATATTTTTAAAACAAAAATATATTTTTAAAATAAAAAATAAATTTATTTTACTAAATTTTTTTTACAAACTCAATTCTATTACATAAACATACAAAAACAGGAGAAAAAAAAGGACTATAGAAATGGAGAAAGAAGAAGAAGAAAAATTACTCTTTTAAATAAAGAGAATTTCTTATAAAAAAAAAAAGAGAATTGTAAATTAAATTAAAATAGGTTATGTTGATAGTGACACACAAGAAAAAAAGTTTGTTGTCGGCACGACTATTCAGTTTATAATTAAAAATAAATAAATTAGTAATTTTATTAAAAAATTTATTAAAATAAATTTATTAATATTTTTTATGATAATAAATAAATAAAATTAATTAAATATGTAATAAAAATAAAAAATTTCAAACTTAAACTTTCTACACACGCACATATAATTTTTTTTCTCTTAAAGTACATTAAATTGAATTACTAAGAAAGCTTTTCAAAAAAATGAAGAGAAAAAATATTTATTTTATAAAAAATATTAACTTGTGTTCTAAGAATAAAAATTTAGAGTTAAAAATATAAAATTAAAAAAAAAAAAACAAAAACATCCTTCTAAATAAGAGATTGTCTTATTTTGAAATAAATAGTAAAATAGAGATGAAAAAAATTTAAAATAATTTTGATTAAAATAACATTATGTTTATTAATCATATACTCACTTATTGTATATGTCAATTTTAAATTTATAAATTTATTATTTAATTGTCTCACACAAATTTATAAGTTTACTCTATATGTCAAAAATTATTTTAATAAAATTAAGTTATAGAAAAATGCAAAAGCATCGGTTATGGGACATTTATTTTAAAATAAATAATAAAGTAAAATAAAAATAATATAATTAAAATTAATTTTGATGAAAAATATATTTTATTAATTATATGCAAACTTAGCATGTATTAACTTTGAATTTAATAATTTAATATGAAATACACTAAATTAATAAATTTAATAACAGTTTTAATGTTAAAATGTAACGGTAATTCACTCTTTAAGTAGAGCTAATGTAATGTATACATTTGATGTTAAAAGTTTCTTTCTCCCTTAAAATGCATTAAACTGAATTAGTATCAATGATACTTTAAATGACAATATATTTTTCCCTCCATTAAATTTACTAACGATATGCTTTTAAAGGAAATGAAGAGATAAAATATTTAATTTATGAATAATGCTAAATTTTGTTTAAAGGGTACAAATAAAGAGATAAATATACAAAATATTTAAAAATTAAATGAATAGAATATGTTTATTTTAACTAAAGTTAAATTTTAGAAAAATATAAAAACATCCATTTCAAATAAGAGATTGTTTTATTTTAAAATTTAATTATTCTTTATTAATCATTTGATGTTAAAAGTTTCTTTCTCCCTTAAAATGCATTAAACTGAATTAGTATCAATGATACTTTAAATGACAATATATTTTTCCCTCCATTAAATTTACTAACGATATGCTTTTAAAGGAAATGAAGAGATAAAATATTTAATTTATGAATAATGCTAAATTGTGTTTAAAGGGTACAAATAAAGAGATAAATATACAAAATATTTAAAAATTAAATGAATAGAATATGTTTATTTTAACTAAAGTTAAATTTTAGAAAAATATAAAAACATCCATTTCAAATAAGAGATTGTTTTATTTTAAAACAAATAGCAAAATGGAGATGAATAAAATAATTCAAAACAATTTTAATTAAAAAAACATCATATTTTACTAATCATATATTCACTTAATATATAGTCAACTTTAAATTTAGTAATTAATTATGTGATACAAATTTAGTGATTAATTATTACACAAATTATTAAACTCATGCAAATTTTTGTCTTCTTTAAAATTTCTAAATATAATAGTCGATATATTATCAATTCATTCTTTAATTAGAACTCTTGTAAGGAGTATATTATAATATAATTTTTTTTGAAACAAAAGAAATATACTACATCAAGCATAAGAAATATCCAAGAACCAACCAAAATGTTATACAATTCTAAATCATCAGCACCGTGAATTAGAAAAAATTCACTTAACAGAACAATTACAAAAGTAAAGAGACAAACTAAAATAGACTTGTTGCAGACACAATACCAACCTATCCCATGGCTACTTCCAATTGATGAACTAATATAACACTGAGATTGAGTTTCTACACAAAATATTGCGCTAAAACATAAGCCAAATCCACCGGAACCTCTGCAAAACCGCCAATCATACAAAAACCATAACACTACCAAGTAGATTTAAATCAATATTATATCAAGCAGACATCTTTGGAAATAATGTTGATGCACCAAACCTACTCACCACAGTTGCCACTAAACTGCAATTTAAAACGGACTGCGGAAAGACAACACAACCAGAACCTATTCGAACAACTCATATATGCTTAGAATACACATGAGAACCCCAAATTTGTTTGTAACTTTTTAAAGTTTTGATATGTGAAACCATTTAGCTCATGTATTAGGCAAATCACTATTTCTAACACTATTTTCAATTGACTTATTAGAACCTCTGCAACACGAGTCGTCGGGATTAACATCAACCCTCTATGCAGAAGGATGATAGAACCTACGCACATAAAATCAGACAAACACATAACATTAGCATAATAAACTCGGATAGAGGTGAGCCGTCCATGCCACAATACAGAATTGATAAAATAGAGCCCAACAACATGTTAGGAACATAACTACTCTTCATGTAGAGATACACATTCCGCTTGATCAGATCGAAACAATGGGATGTCTGAACCTACGCACAAAAAAATCAGACCACAACATTGTAATAAACTGAAACATATGTGAGACAGAAAATAGTAGCATTGAGATATACCTGATAAATGCAGGTTTGGCTAGAATATATCTAATAGATGAGACTTGGATGGAAGATTCTTTAGCAGATGCAAAAGGCTAATTATTTGTCCAAGTTATGTTGCTTATATCATCTTTTGCCAACCAGCTTCCGTATGCAGGATCGAATGGCCTTGATATCAAAGGGGGTTCAACCGAACTTTGACTTCTTATATCAGGACAATGTTTCATATTTAATAGTAATTTTTTTATGTCATAATCACAATCAATAAAACTTCCTTCATGTTTAGTTGGGAAAGGTAACATTAAATGATAGCATAAACTTTCAAAACTACAATATGGAAACCCAAACAACCTAAACAGTTATCCAATACTTTGAGAATGAATAAAGGGCCTTGACTATCCATAACCAATGATATTTGAAACTATGGCAGGAGTTGACTGAGAGGTTTCATGTCTCTATGGTTAATCTTGGAGTGCCAGAGTTGACAAAATAATATGAAACTAAATGGTCAATTCTAATGATTGATTAAAATCTAACAACTAAAATAACTAACCTAATATCTAAAGATATTATTCTTTAATTATGAAACAAATTCAATAGTAGGGGTATGAAGCAATTTCAAGAGCAGGGGTATGGATTATTTTTCACAACAGGGGTATGTTTCAATCAATAGCTTATATGAAAAAGTGGTTTGCATAATTACCTGCTAAACTTAGCAAGCATGTGATTCCTTATGATAAAACGACAATTTTGTATCAATCACTTTCATCCGGCAATTCTGCAGAATGATAATGCTCCATATAGAGAGTTATAACCCGATGTAAAAACATCACTTGCCTATACCAAAAAATGAAACACACGCTTAAACTACGATTAAGTGAAAATATAAAAACAAACTACGATTATAGTAGACTACAAACATTTATGAAGAATATCTACATCGTCAATTTGGAAATGCATGTCGGTGTAAACTTATTGCAAGAAATACGAATAACTTACATTCCAGT